AGTTGTTCATTATTTATGGCATCATCACATTGGCATATAGTATTGAAATCAAACATGGCAAAATGTAATGTGATGTCAAAAGCAACTCAGCAATCCAGGACAAGCAAGCTCAGTTACATTGGCCTTTACTGAAGCTCTTCTTCAGGGGCCCTGCAAAATCCTCCAAGCCCTTTCCTTTCCCCCTGCATTCTACATTTGTTGCTTCTGCTAATACATTCATACTGTAATAGAGGTGAAAGTGGAGTTTAATTATTTAATCTTGACAATGGCAATAGGATTAAGAAGTAATCCTTGCTAATCAAGTAAGTGTGGGTTAGAAATGAAGTTGAAATTGTCAAGGGTCTTCGACAGGACCTGAGCTGCCCCAGTTCCTTCAGCTGTCTGCTTGCCCTGTAATTGAATGTCTGAAAGTGATTGAAAAAATGTTATTTCTTCCCTGGATTACATGCTAATGTACAGAGGGCAAAGGGAGACAGCAAAAGAACACATAGCTGCTTATTTCATCCATTTGTGGGAATGAGCTTTGGGAAATCATGGCAGTAGTGCAGCTATCGGATGCCCATCTGCAAACACAATGTATTTGTACGCTGGGAATAGGGGGCAAAGCTGCTCTGATCTCAGCCGAGCATCTCTGCTATTGTCCTACTGGCACACATTGAGATTGATGCAAGATTAAAGACCATCACACCTCCTAACAATTGACAGAAATGACAATTCATCTGAATTTTTTGGCAGTTATTCACCCATTGATTACCTAAGCGTGTGCACCTCATTTATAGGTACTTTATTAATGCAAAGCAGTATGTGTCACACACATGCATTTTATAGTATTTTTAAACAAAGGACTGGAGCTGATAAATACACCCTTTGTTGTTCTTTGTGTCCTTTCTTGATAAGTGGGATGACAAACGTAACCCACTTTCCTTCTCTGGATGTTGCTTTATACAATAGCTTGCATATTGTTAGATCTGTGCCCAGCCTATTGTTTTGAGTAGTACACTGATCTCTCTCTGTGATAAGCCCTGTGGAGATGTGATTATTCCAATAAAAATTCATTCAGTTGGAAACCAATGCTCCAGCTGTTTACTCCCACAGTCCCTGAGCTGCACTAACACTGTGTGGATTCCTTGAAGAATATTTAACTGGGGGATGGAACCCACTTTTCAAATATTATGCTTACAGTCCCTAGCACTGGCTAATATTTAACTTTTGTACAATAGATCCTACCCTGTCTTTAAAAAGCCAGAATCCATTTTAAAAAACACCTTTCTAAATATGCAAAAAAGGAAATCTGGGTCGAATTGGATTGCAGCTCCTCAAAAATTTCAACACACACATGTGAAAATAATGTTTCCCATATAACCCTCTTTTTTTGTATTTGCATTATTGTTAAAAACATAAGGTATTGGGCTCTCGAGCATTTTAAAATTCTGGAAGAATAAAGTAGATCATCTAACCGCCACCTATATGGCATACATAACCATTTGCATTGGTTGCAGCTGTTGTTATTCAAAGATCTGGCAATTCAGAAATACAGCAAATGCATTGCATGTGTACCTTTTGGGATCACTTTGATTTTTTAAATCATTCCTTTTTTGAGGGGCCGTTGGATTAGTTTTAGATAGGTAAGACAAGACATAACATACACCTAATATACATGTGTGCAACCTTTTGAGTTTGCTGTTGAGCGCATTGGAAATGCAGTGTTGGAGTATGTTCTGTTTCCCTTTGGTAGGTCCTGTTAGTCTATCTACATCAGCTCAGCTTGTGGCCCCGTGTGTAGCTCTGAAGGGCACACTTTCCATCACCACCTCTGAACTGTATTTCGAGGTAGATGAAGAAGACCCTGGTTTTAAGAAAATTGACCCCAAGGTAAGAGATCAATAGACCCCATGGAATAAGTCGTGACAAATTACAAGCTGCCTTTAATTTTTCATTCCTTCCCTTGGATTCAAGTTTTCTCATGTTCATAAGTTGTTGTGCTTCCATTGTATGAAGTATATAAAAAAAAATTCATCCTACTTCCAGTGCTAACAGCCTTGTAAGGCAGATACCTCAGCGAAATATCTTAAATGAAGCCACTTTAGAACAAGATGTGACTAACAGTAAGTTCAAAAAGGACTGACTGACAAAATCCATTCTCCTTAGCCATTTTATTTAATTTTTGTACACGCCGCTGCGAGAAGGCACCATACTGTTCTACAACTTTCTTGCATGTATATAGCAGCTTGACCAGGCCTCTGAATGTGCTCATGTAGAAAATTCCCTCTTGATAGATTTCTAAAGTAGGACAAAACTTAATTTGTGTTGTCTTTCAGTTTCTCAGTACTTTGGGGGTAAATAATACTAATCTTCAAATGTGGAAACCATGTATGTATTCATGTATTTTCTTTGCTGGCAGTACAACATAACTGCTACAGTGGTTGCAAGAGTGTGTTCCAGGTTTTTAAAATGTGATTAATCAAGGAGCATTTTGGCTCATAGACACGTTTGTTTCTGAATTTCACAATAAGGATTCATTGACAAAATACAGTGCTTTCTTCTTGAGAGAGAAAAGAAGCTGCAAGACCTATTGTGTACCTATTGTAGTAAAGGAGGATGTTTCACTGTTCAGTGTTGTTCTGTCTGAATACAACATCCTAACAGTTAGTGATTCTAAGAAAGGGATTTCATAGGAGATGTGAGGTAGGATCTACCCAGTAACAATACAGTCATTTAAAGCCTGCAGTATAATATGAGTTAATTACAACCATGGGATTATTTGAAATACATCGTTTTCAAGCATTTTTATGGGAAGTGATAGCTTTTGAAATGTGGTGACCAATTTTCTATGCATATTAAATTTAGCGCTAATTGATCTTGGGTTTTTTAAAATGCAACCTTCAGTACATTTTCAGCATTTTAGATTAGATGCTGCGGCCAATTTCCATGAAAACATTAAAAAATGTGGCTGTTTATCCCTGTGTATGAGACCAATGAATAATGAAGAGTTACCTCTCTTTCGGGGATTGAAGGAATCTCTCTCACAATTTAAAAAATGTTTTCACTGGACTGTTCTTCCCCCTTTATAGCAGAGAGTTGTTAAATGGAAAGGTATCCATCCAGCCCTGTCCATTTAATCTGCAAGGTTTTTTTTTAAGAGAAAAACAAGACTCCAAATCCTTGATTTCCCCTGTGAAAATCTTCCAAATCCTAAACCTACTGGTGTCCTAGTTATGAAGTTAAGTACTGGCAAAGTATATAGTTTTCTTTTAAGCACAGGCATTTCCCCATGTTCCCTTTTCCATATGGGAATATGGGTACCTGAGCTTGGCTATCAAGATCTTTCAGTACCAATCCTGCATTCCCTTAGATGCCTGTTTAATTAATGTGGCTTTGTTGGGTTGATAGATTCAACTTCTCTGTGTGTGTTTTTAAACTCCTGGGAAAGAAAACATTGTGACAGGATTTTGAAGTAAAACCTGTATTGGGCACAGCACTGTTTGCTGATAACATCAGAGTTTATATTCCTACCCTGAGTCTGTTTTTTATATGGAAGCTGCAGTCCTATAGGCTCAGATTTATTCTTCCAGTCGACTGGGGTTGGGGGGAATCTAGATATTTTTGGGGCCATTTTAGGATGCCCCAAACATTTCTCATCCATACACAGGGACACACACACACACACAGAGAGATCATTTAGAAATCAGTGTATTTAGAAAATATGTTTGTAAATATTCTGTGCTGTGTGTGATGATCTCCAGGCCCTTAACAATAGGTTTGTCTTTTTAAAAAAGTTTGGGATACTTTTGTTTCTTCTTAAATTACAGACTATAAAGCTTCCTGACGTTTTTGCACATACATTTTTAAATGCAGATTGATCCTAATGAAAATGAAAATAGTTTTTTGTGGGGACAAAAAAAGTCCTAGTGTATTGAGACTGTAATTGCATGCACATTTTCCTGGGAACAAGTGAGGACTCCTTTCCGAATAATGGTGCATAGGATTGGTCTTAAGGTTAATATAAAACTTAGTGGAAATGTTTCCTACCAAAAATCGGCTCTGTCCTTGGTACAGAATCCGTTTGTGCATGTAAATTTAAAACTAAGATCTGATGAAACAATATGTAACGTGGAATCAGAAAAAGCCTAAAATAATTCCTTTGTAAACTAGAGTAAATTAAATATGCAAAATAGTAATTGCGGGCAGGCAAAGCAGTAAGCAAAAAGTTCCAGTTGAATCTCTTCGGGACCTCTCTTGTTGCTGCTCAGAGCCCCTGTCGAACTCCAAGGTACACTGAAAAAACAGAGCAGCCAAATGTTTACAAGGGAGAAAAAAATAGGCTGGTGGGCTTGCAGCATATTAATTATTCAAAGAAAATCCATCTGGCCGTGAAATTCAAAGTCAAACTGGACTTAAGGTGTCCACGCTTTAATAAAGGGGAACTCCACAGACACCGAAAGGCCGAATGTAAAAGGAACTGTTACCCCCCCCTTCCCAAAATGTATCAGAATCGAAGTCAACTGATAATATGGCCCCAAATCTACCTTGGCAAGTTTTTTTTAAAATCCCCAAATTTTACTCCCCCTCCAAGCAATTGCCTAATCTGTTTAATCGGTGGCGGTTTTCAGAATAGGCTGCATTTAAAACCGTACTCCTGACAACTTCTTTTCCGTCGCCTTATCTGCTTTCAGAGAAGTGGCCGCCTTACGTGTTTCTTACTTGCCTGAGCATCCCAATAAACCCACACAAAGTCAATGTAAAGTTAAAAGTCATTTTTTATTACTGTTTTTCAGAAAGTCAGTATAGGGGGAGGGCACATAATCTGACCTTGGCACTGAAATACATTTAACACCAGTAAACTTTTGCATGGTCCCCCCAAAAAAAACAAAAGAGAGAGAGGTGTACATAGAGTTAAATAATTTTTGTTTTCACTTGGTGACAACATTCAGGCAAACGAACGAGAGCGCGTTAAACGAATGACAGACACTTAGTATTGGAAAAAAGAGAAGTACCTCGGGTTTTGTCGGGCTGTCGCAAAAGTCCCGTCGCTTTGTTTTGTGTTTAATGGTGTATTTTTAATAGAAAAGGGGTGGGGCGCCCCCGATGCTAGGCTGGGAGTCTCTTTCCTGTCCCCCTCCCTGGCGGCGGGCGTTTTTAAATAAGCGTCTGTGGGGTCCCTCTGCAGTCTTTTGCGCGCGGCGTGGCGCGGCGGCCGGTGGGTGCGTCCCTATAGCTTGTCGAGGCTCTTGGGGTTGGTGAGGATCTCCCTGGCGAGGCGCCAGGTCTGCTTGGCGGCGCTCTCGAGGGCCGAGTGGGGCTTGCCCTGGAAGAGGTCGAGGTTGGGGAGGAAGTAGTGCGGGCAGCGGCGGCACTGCAGGCAGGAGATGAGCTGGAGGAGGATGCCGTTGAGGCGGTCGCCCAGGCAGGCCTCGTCCCAGTCGGTCTCCCGCGGGTGCTTCTCGCACTCGTAGAGCAGCAGCGTCTTCATGTGGTAGTTGTTGAGCGGCTGGCCGGGCAGCTCGAGGTGGCGGTCGCGCAGCGTCTTGAGCACCGAGAGGCACTTGTTGCGGCAGCCGCCCAGCAGCAGGCGGTTCTCGGCCTCGCCGAACTGGAGCACCCAGGCGTCGCTCTCGGCCGAGCTCTGCTTGCCGGTCAGCGAGTAGCACTCCTTGGAGAGGAGGTTGAAGCCCTCGGCCTTGACCTCGGCCACGCGGTTGGGCCCCGGCCAGGGGATGTGGGGCAGGGGCCACTGGGCCGCGCTGCGCGGCCAGATGCCGGTGCACTTGAAGGCGGGCGTGATCTGCACCACGTAGCGCTCGCGGATGCGCAGCTTGACCTCGCTGGTGTCGGCGATCATCTTGACCACGTCGCGGTAGCTGCACTTGTCCACCGCCTGGGCCACCAGCGTCTGGAAGCGCGAGCGGATCTTGCGCGCCGACAGGTAGCCCGAGGCCGTGATGAACTCCACCCAGAGCGACATGCTCCGCTTGCGGCCGTCGCTCAGCTTGAGGACGGCGCAGCCGGGCAGCGAGCCGTCGTCGACGAAGTTGAAGACGCCCATCTGGTTGAGGTAGAGCACCACCTCGAACTCGGTGGGCGAGATGACCTCCAGGCCCTCGTAGCGGGCGTCGATCTCGCTCAGCGAGCTGATGAAGCGCGGCTCCTGCACCTCCACCTCCTTCAGCACGTCCGACACCACCTTGCACACCTCGCGGATGGTCTTGGCGATGGCCGCCTTGCGCGCCTGGCACCGCTCCGTGTAGTACTTGTTCAGCTGGTACACCAGCTTGGCCTGCGCCGCGATCATGTTGGGGCACACGTCCGGGCTGTACACCGGGCTCTCGCAGTACGTGGACGGATCCAACGCCAACGCCGCCGCGCCCGCCGGACGGCACAGGCGAAGCCCGCTCCGCCCGAGCGCCAGCGACCTCGGCACCACAGCCCGCGAGGTCAGTCCTTCATCGGGGAACGACGGCTTGCCAGGGCCTCCCCGCGCGGCGGCCAAGTCCAAGGCGGCGGGGGAGCCGGAGGGCGCCGGCCTGGCCAGGTAGCACCGGCCCCGGGACCGCCAGCGACGGGCGCCGCTTGTCCGCCGGAGGAGGCCTGGTCGGCTGCTGCCGCCGCCGCCGCCCCCGGCTGCCTGTCCTCCGTCTGATGGTGCGAACTGGCAGGCTGGAGCGCGACCCGCCGCCCTGGCTCGGGGACCCTCCGTGTCTTCTCTCGGGCCAGACTGTGGACCGTCGGAAGTCCCTCTTTGTTCCGACCGCCTTTCCTCGAGGAGCCGCAGGAGAGATCTGTGGGTGGGTGGGGGAGTGCGTGTGGGTGTGTGTGTGTGCGTGTGTGTGATTTTCGCTTTCCAGGATTCGGTTCCCCCCTCCTGCTTTCCGCTTCCTTTCCCCTCCCACTTCTGGAATGGGCTGCAGCCGCTCTGGTTACTTCCCTGCGCCGCCGCGCGTCCTCTCCGGCGAGGGCTGCCTGGAAGTCTCTGGGTTTGCGGAGCGGGCTGCTTAGTTTATGAATGGCCCCAAGGCCCTGCTGAAGGGAGGCGGAGCTCCGCGATCGTACAATCGCCGCCCGAGCTGTCAGAGGGCCAGCCAATGGCGGGGCCGGCCGGCGCGAGGCCAGCCTGGCGGAGCGGCGGCGGGAGAGATGCTGCCGAAGGCACACGCCGGCACAGACAGACAGAGAGAGACGTGGGAACCAGCCCGAGCGCCCCTTTCCCTCCCGCAGAGCCAGAGCCCCTGCGAGCACCGCGGAGTCCTGGGGCTGGCAGGAGGGAAACGGGCGCGCAAGGCCGGGGAGAGCAGCCTTCGAAGTGACAGTCAAGGCCAAGGTGCGCCTGCAGGCACTGCAAGGCGTCGGGGGCGAGGGAGGAAGGCCCTTGCAAGCCAGGCGGACCCGGCCCTCGGGGAGCGGGGGGCGGGGAGGTCCGAGGAGAATGCGCGCCTCTGACTCCCCCTCGGCAGCTGAAGAGGAGGGACGCGGCGGTTGGGACAGAGTGGCGCACCTGGTTTTGCAGGGCCCTGGTTGCCTCGCGATCCTTACATATATATATCTGTACATTTATTCTATATATCTATATATAGATCTATACATATATTCTCTGTTACTTTGGAAAAGGCCACAAAGTCTGGAGATTCCAGTCCGGGCATTAGTTGGATACAAGGAAGGGCTGAGGGTTTTTGCGATAAAAACGTGTAATCAGAAATTATTTGGGTAAAGTAGTGAATCAAAAACATACGAAAATACTTTATACTGTGTTAAACTCGACTGGACAATTCTTCCACTTAGCAGCCAGTAGCTGTTCAAAATGAACAAGGTAGTTTCTGTCCCTTAAGATTTTCTATCCTTGAAGTGTGGTACCGCTGTTAATAATGTGTCCAGCCCACTAGGTGATCGTTTGAATTTTATTCGTGAATATCCTATCAGACGTCGGGTCTTTTCGTTGTGTGCGTTTCGGCAGAATAGTCGGATAATTTAATTTCTACAAAAATCCGAGAAGAGCTTTTTTTTTTTCTCTTTGCGAAAACCTCAAGACCGCTGAACAACGAGGAAACTCTTATGGACGTCCTGAATCGCACATTTTCCTATTGTCTTCCCCGCATCGTTCACAGCCGATGCCTTTTGCCTCCAAACGAAGTTTCTTAATTTTTAAAAACAGAATGTGGATGATCTGGTGTCATTAACAAAAAAAAAAGACTACGGCATTCCATTGTATTGAAAATAGAAGTTCGCCTCCCCGCAAGCCTGTCGTGGATCCGACCTGCTCGAAAGCAAACTGCCCTCTTTTTTTCTCGTTTTTCTCCGCGTTTCTGAGTTGTTCTAAATCGCTGTCCTCCACCGCCCGTCATTGAACTTGCTCCGGCAGGGATTTTCTGGCTGCGCCGGGGGCAGAGGCTTTAGACGGAGAGGGGGGCTCACCAGTTGCTTCCAGCCCGTCAGCCCGATCCACCCTTTATACCAAGCAGATTCTGGGGCTCTTCCCATTTCTCTCTCTCTCTCTTTTCTTTCGGTTGGAGGGAAAACTGACCACAGCAAATAAAGATACCTGTATCGGGGCGGAGGGGGGGACACCACAAAAACAAAGCGTGGCACCCCCGCATCACCTAACTCCGAAATGCCGTCGATGCCAGGCGGCCTTGGAGAGCAGCAGAGGCCGCCCCAAGCACGGGCTCAGGCCGGCGCCTGCCGTCCAGTGTCTCGCAAGCCAGGAGAGCGTTTGGACGGTGGCTGTAGGCGGCGATCCTAAGGCTCTTCTCTGGGCAGCGCTGAGGGCAGGAGCGCTTTCGAGGAAGCGGGCACCGGGCGGGGCTCTTAGAACCGGGCGCACGCCTCCCTCTCGCTCTGTGGGTGTGTTTGAGGGAAAGCGCCGTCAGTTGTCTGCTTCTAAGCCCCCGTTGTCCGAGGGAGCTTGCCGGCTTAGGATCGCGGCCTCCGCAGAGAGGTAGAGGCAGGCAGAGCCGTTACCTTTCCGAGGGGCAAGAGGAGGCCGACGAGGGGAGGGGAGGGGAGGGGAGGGTGAGTGCCCGGCTGCTTCGCTTGCCCCCCCTCCTGGGTGGCGTCTAGGGCGGGAGCGGGATCCTCGGAGTGGGACTCCCCCGTGGAAAAGCTGCAGGCCGGCGTCCCTTCCTGGGGCCGGCTGGGGGTGGAAGATCCCCCTTTCCCCCCTGCTGCGAGGCAGATGCCCGGGCGTTGCAGAAGAGCCCCGCAGCCGCCCGGAGCCCCGCGCAGCACCTCGGAGGCGCCTGGTCCGCCAGTGGCCCGGGCTGCCCGGTGAAGCCCTGCCGAACCCCTCCCCCCGCGCCCGGGGGCGCGGGCCCCGGCCCTCCCGCTCGGGTTGCCAACCCACATTCATTACCCATC